CAATGAACTGATAAGATGGGTTGTTTTATAAGCACGATATAACATTTGCAGCCGATCTTTATCTGATATACAAGCTCTCGCCTTGGGCTCGAGTTTTTATATCAGATAAAGATCGGCTGCGAATGTTTTATCTAGTACTTATATGAGTTATGACCTGCATATATTTTGAGCATTTAAAAAAAATGGCAATCCTTGCCTTCTGCCCACTATATACACTAAGACTGGATAGCGCATCTGGTGTTCAGAGTGAAGTTGGAAGTGAGCTGACGGCCGCCATGTTGAATGGCCCCACTTGAGGAGTGAATACTATAGATTTCTATTACAGAATGTATAGTTTTCCATTTAAAACGCTTATTTTCTTCTCTTGGAACGAAACAAACCTTATTTCAGGAAAGGAATATATAACATGAATGCTTCAAGAAGTAAATTTCAAGTTTTTAACCCTGAAATCGCAGAGGAAACCGAAGTTTTGCGTCGTAATAATGAGTGCGACTGTGCGGGGACTGAAGATGTGAACGCCAGACTCGTCAATGAGTGCTGTATATAGCATCTCTCGGTAGATCGACTCTCATCGGTCCATAGGCTTCTGATGCTAAAAATAGAACTTTTATCATAGTTTGTAATCGTTACAGTTCTGGGCATACGAATTACTTGAGTACAAGAATCGAAGGCCGTAACGAATGGGAACGCTGGTCGACTGACAAGAACATATATGAACACACGAAACCGATGAAGAGCGTTTCCTGATGGCACTTTCTGAATGAGTCAAGGGGATCGGACGTATTTCCCGTTCACACGAGGTGAAGGGAGCAGAGAGTCATAGCCCCCCCCCCCCCACTGCCACCGGGCATAAGGGATCGAGGGGATCGAACGTATTTCGCTTTTAAAACAGACACGAGACGAAGGGAGCAGGGGATCAGAGTCACCTCACGGCCACCAGGGCATAAGGGATCGAAGTGAACGAAGGAATCGAGGGGATCGGACGTTTTTCGCTTTCAAAACAGACACTATATATATATATATATATAGCAATGATTACTGATTACTTCGCCATGGCATCCCTTTTACAATTATGTAATTCAGTATCACTAAGATCATTCATACTTGTTCGTAAATGTGTTTTATATAACATTTAGTTGCAAATCAGCCCACAAGGTGACGTATTGCCAAAGGATGAACATGTGCACTTGTTCACCAGTGACAAACTGCAGCGGTTCGGAGTAACAATTAAACCGAAGTTACTAAATGATTCGCAACACTTGCTGAACATATGCAGGAGGTAAAATAGTGAAGTGTAATCCCGAAGTAAAAACTTATTATTGTATATTTGTTCTTATTAGGGACCGGTCATAAAGTAACTGCTAGGGTGGGCCGGAGTGATTTGGGATGGGTCATGGAAAATCTTTGGGCGGCTTCGATGGGCCGCCAATTATTTTGTATGTCTACGGTTGGGCCACCAAACAAAAACCCATATCTACTTTAAATTCCATCCAGGGGCATAGGAAGCCAGGGGGCGTCGGCGCCAACCATGGTGGCGCCTCGTGGGGGTCGTCCCCCCTAACTTTTACAAGCTTCCCTGCATTCATCACTTATTATGTCATTATGATAAATATAATAGTAAATAAGATTTTAAAATCAAACATAATACAAGTCTAACAGGGCTGTACACTGCACAGAGGGCAGCAGGGGCAACTGCCCCCCCCCCCACCCCCTAAAATGTAACTAATTTTATAATGTGATTATGCTTGTAACAGATAATTATGCAGTCAGGAAATAAAAATTTCATGCAAACAATATTGAAAGTGTCTATACAGCCGGCTATTTAGTAAACTGTCACTTGTCAATCCATACTCATCGAATTTTCAAAACTTTATTGTGATCATATGAAGCAAAAATTCTGTCACTTGTTGTTTACACTTGGCAATGTTAACTGTTGAGTAACATAAACACTATTCGAGGAACATGCATTACTGTAGCAAAGAGTCAATCATATATCGAAGACCATGCACTGAATAGTAGAGAATGTTTTGAAGGTCATGAGTGAAGTATAACTAGTATATAATTCAATTCCAACCCTGTGCACAGTTATTAATGATATACCATACTGTCCATATCCACACAAAAACAATTTGTGGTGTTGGAGAATATCTGTTTGAGTAGAAGGCATCACAAGTTTAGTTTTGTACATTGCATGCCTTTGATCTGATCCATCCATATAATATATGATTATTGTAGCTGTTAAGTTATTTCCATACTGATGAATTTAGGTAAGATTGTCTTGCAAGTGGGTTGTTCTGACAAAATTACCCAGCCAATATCCAGTAGATCAGTACATGGTATTCATCATTCTTGTATTAATCTCTAAACAAAAACATTTATATTAGAAAGCAAAATGACAATGTAATGAGGAGGGAGGGTAGGGATTCTTTTATTAGCATTTGAAAATAGCTGTAACAATTTTGTTTAATTAACTCTATAATTGTGTAAAACCAAAATGTATATTAAAAGTATAATTTTAACTGATGACATATTTACCTTTGCTCTAACACTACATTTGATGACAACTTAGTTGGACTGTTGTTTTGAACAGAGTTACAGAAATACAGGACCAGGATTTAATTCAATATCTCCTGAGAACATTAGTTTCTTGTGATATTGTTAATTGGCAATATAATGCCTGCAGCCAGAGTTTTGACTGCAGTTTACAATATATTTACACAATGACTGTTTTTATACTGTGTGAATGTATATAATAAAATACGTGGTATTTGGCTATTTACCAGATGAGGATAAGTTTCCATGTTGATAGATAACTTTGGAATAATATCACAAGTAGAATGGTGAAAACAAGACAGCCAATTCAAGATAAACTCAAGATATTTTTGAAGCCAAAATATGGCAAAGAATAACACGACTTACACGAGGCCAAACTACGCCCGTTCGCAGGTTAGGTGCGAGCACAATGTAAACAATTGATGTAAGCTAATCGCTGATTGGCTTAATTATATAAGCTCGTCGCTGAATGGCTATGGGTATATACGTTAATACTAATCTGCTTCGCAGATACAAAAATAAAGATATACACCGGCACTGTACTGATATATGTTCATACCTGCAAGTTTTTTTCATTATAAAAGTGTATTTTCCCAATTTAGATTGGGTGGGTGGGTCATGAAATAAATTTGGTAAGATTGGATGGGCTTTGAAATTTTTATCTACATCCTAAGATGGGTCACCAAACTTATTGGCAAAATTTGTGATTTACCTCCAGCCCACCCTAGCAGTTACTTTATGACCAGTCCCTTACATGGTCATTTATGTAATCAATGAAAACGATCGTTAATCTTTGACGAACACCTAGCACACAGTTGTTTAAACAAAATTATTATATTTTCAAACTTTATTCTCGTTCGCGATTGGTCAAAAATCCCCTGATAATTCTCTATATCCATTATCTGTCACGTTATTTCTGCTGCTGACGTGATTAGCGTCGGTGCAATAATATGGTTTTTTTGGATAGAAGTTCGAGGAAATTTTTGAAATATATAATAAAGCGATCAGTATTTTATTAGGTTCTCGCATGATAAGTCTCAACCTTCGGCTTCGGTTGCAATCTCGTACCCAGAGCCATCTTTGAGTGGCTCTGGCCACACGAGTTGAGTTAATTAGAAAATACGCAATCTCGTTCCCCGAGCCTGCGATCCTTGGGAAGGAAACGAAGGCTCTGGGATAATCCGAATCAGACATACAGAAAACTGTATGTCGACCGAACTGCGCATGCGTTGGCAAAAGCAAAACAAATTGTTTGAAATATTTTATTGTTTCGTCTATAAAATTGTTACGAGGCTTTATTTATAGGTAGAGAATTGTTACAACCAATCTCTAATAACTATCAGTTCTTAATGTTCGTCTTCTCGTAGTAGTTTCCTAAAGTTCACTTCATTCTATAGTCCACTGAGAGTCCACTGAGATCATACACTGACGAATTTCGGTTGTGCACGCCCTTTTATACTAACGGTTGAGGGGATCTTTCTACACGTGATGTAGCAAGTGGTGTGATTTGTATCTAGCCAATCAACGTTGAGGTTTAAAAGTGTGGGTTGGCGTTGCTAGCTCGTTCCAGCTCTCACATTCTGTTTATTTAAGGCGTTGTCGCACTGGTCGAGTTGGTTCGCTGTTCAATCGATCATCATTAAAACATGTTCACAACTTAAAATACTCATCAAAATATCATAGTAAAAACTTCAACCTATACCTATGTGAACCTTACTTTACCTACTAACCTAAATTTACTTACAATTTTATTGAACCAAAATTTTGATGACGTAATGTTATCTTTACTCAACCGCGCGAAATATACCGAAGAATGATTGACAAAAAGGCCCTAAGCATGCACATTTTCATGTCAGAGAAGAACCAGCCTTGGACTTTGAATTATGTAAACACAACAGCCCACCATGCAAGGCTATCGTCCATCTTTGACAAATTGACAAATTATTTATCTTGCCTAATGGACAGATAATTGACACTTTTACACAAGTCCGAAATGATATATACTTTATCTGAGTTTTACAGCAAAAATGTTCATTATCTCTCCATTTGACGCGTAACTATACTAAGTGTCTATAATTACCTGGGGTGCAAATTGAACTATTTTTATACTATTTTTAATACTGTCGTAACACTATTACAATTTAAGGGCACATTACTTGTTTGTGCATTGCAAACTAACGAGGCGAGCTGTTTTACAAAATTGCTGGACACTTGAGTAGAAATTACCATTTCTGTTGGCTGCCTATACATGTCTAATTCGTCACTTGTGATAAGTTTACTTATATATGATCGATTTAACAATATTCTATAATCTTCTACAATAAAATGTGCAAGTTTTCCAACTATTCTGTGAGAAAACAATCGTTCAAATCTTAATATTTAATCGTTCATTGCAACCACGTTTAATATGCTTTTTGCTTGCTACTCTACATGGTTTCAGTAAATAAATGCTGACATCATTCTGTGGTATCTATTTTTCAGATATTAATGACTGCTTGACTAATCCATGCCATGCTAATGCTGTATGTCAAAATACCCCCGGAAGCTTTACATGTGCATGTACAGTGGGTTATTCCGGAAATGGTTTCAATTGTGTTGGTAAGTTTGAATAGTCCACCCTGACATTCTAACATGCCAGGCTCTGCTCATAGTGTAAATTTGTCTTAACTATCTGTGAGATAAAGCGATTTAAGGCGAGTTTAGGCGATTTGCAGATAACTTAATTAGGTGATTTAAAACTTCCACCAACGTCGTTACGATTTAAGGCGACTTAAGATATTTAAGGATTTCTAGATCTAAAGCTAATTGGTTGTTGTTCTTGCCAAATTTATTGTCGTACATATACATTGATAGAAAAAGGATTTATTAAAAACATTGAACCATTTGGTGATGTTAAAGAAAACATTTTTTCATTGAAATGTATTTTGATGTAACGAATGTAGGCAGGTACGGACGCGAGATTTTGTGGTCTGTAACACTGGTTAATATTATTCTGAAACTGCAGAGTACAACGAAAAAATCGTTGCCTTGCGCAGGATTCGCACCTTCGTTTTTCGAGACCGCCGAAGATGCAAGAACAGACAAAACAGAAAGGTTCCCTAAAACATTTTGTTGCCCTCATTAACTGTGTCATTATTCTGACTTATTGTGTTTGTTTTTATTCTCAGATATCAATGAATGTAACGGTGATCCATGCCATGCTAATGCTCAATGTACAAATACTGTTGGATCTTTCCTATGCCAGTGCAATTCGGGTTATTCGGGCTCAGGATTTTTATGTACTGGTAATTTTGTTACTTTTTTATGATGCACACTTATTTGGTTTTACCTGAGTTACGACAGTTGCCAATTATTTTGCCAAATCCAAATTCTACACCTTGCCAGATCCAACAGATATTTTTCATTGCTTTGAGAGCCTACGCAACCTTAACTTACAAACATTTTCTGACCATCGTAGAATCTTTGCCATCAGCTTAAACCAATAACAAAACACGTTGTATAAGAATAATGGACGCAACCTTATTAACCTTCGGTGTAGTGTCAAATCTATATGAACCAATGTATATGTTTATATTTTCAGACATTGACGAATGTGCTAATCCAGTATTGAATAATTGCCATCAAAACGCTAACTGTTTGAACATCCCAGGATCATATCAGTGTCAATGTAACGTTGGATATACAGGAAATGGAGTCCAGTGTGCAGGTAAGTACAGGGGCGTTTCTCATGCGTATCCACAGGGAAGAGGTGAAACCTCTATAGAATTTTAATGTTATCTATAATATGACTGGATGAATAAAAGAGCATTTGTTTAGGTAACCATTTGGAAACATTCAAACTTTGCGGTCACCTGGAACGCAGTGTTTATACCCTCGTGAGGTCAGGAAAAACCCCGTCATGCATGGATTACTGCCGAGATAAGACGCATCAGCCACTGCTGTTTATATTAGTCATAGCAAGTGGTAGACTTGGTAGTTCCTCAAAGATGAACTCGGTGTCTCTACAAGGTGAAAGTGTCAGAGTAGGAGAACGATCTATTCAGGCGGGGCAGTTTATAAGGTGTCGAAGAGTATCTGCAGGTCATTTGCCCTGTTGCAGTGGCCTCTCCAATAGTACAGATGGGTGACTAGTTGAGCTTTAGTTGATAATCCTAGTGATAGTCGAAGACCATATAATTGCATCCACCATGAATTAACATGTAGATGACAGGAAATTAGTTTTAAAGTGCGGACTAGCTTTTTGTCTGCGTATATTTATTTTAGACATCAACGAATGTCTTACTGGTACTGCTTGTCACACCAACGCCAATTGTACAAACACGGAGGGATCGTTTGAGTGTGTTTGTCGAGAAGGTTATGTCGGTGATGGTATTAACTGCGCAGGTTTGTATGACTATGATATTTAGGTATGGCAAGTTTTGTTATAGGTCTTTCTCTTAAAATTATACTATACAAAAAGTGTAACTGGATCTTAGTTATATGAAATATTGCAGTTCTTGAATGATTTATAATTCAACTTTTCTTCAATGTAGATAGGGACGAATGCAAAGATAATCCTTGTCACGTGAACGCCGCATGCGAAAATAGAGATGGAAGTCACAGATGTTACTGCAAGTCTGGTTTTAGTGGAAATGGACAGTCCTGCGCTGGTACTGTTACGTAGTAATAACAAAAATAACCTAACTGAACATAATTAAGAGAACATAGCAGAACAAGCTAAGTGTTAAACCACCGATCTGAACAAGACAGAACAGAACACAATACAACACAACGCAACGCAACGCAACGCAACGCACAACAGTAAGAACCGAAACTAAAATAGGAGCAAAAGTATTGCGAAAGCAAGGCTTAAATTTTGTATTTTTAATTTCCTAGATATTAACGAATGTTTGACAAACCCATGTTACACTGATGCCTCGTGCACCAATACAATCGGCACATTTTATTGTACTTGCAACGATGGCTACAGAGGAGATGGACTGCA